TGACAATGTAATGTAAAGGCTCTTTGGTCTTTTTCTTATTTGGACAAACAGACCATTGGCTGTTGCTGGAAAAATAAAATGATCAAGTGTGTATAATTTATTGTGGGATTTGGAGAAAACAGTCACGTCACTTGCACAAGTGCAAGTGGAGCACTGTTTGTAAATGTGTAGTTTTGAGACAGCATCAACGCCCAACTCCATGGACAGAAAAAGCCAAAAGGTAAAAACTTCTCTATGCAAAGATTTCTCACAGACCACTGGCCTCTCACAATACACAGGCATGCTCTCCTCACAGTGCTTAGTACTTCTGTTATTTCATACATAGAGAGAGAGATGGAGAGAACACTGTAATAATGTGGAACTCAAGAGCCAGTGTTGCAGCCTTTTCTCATGTGAACAATCCCTATTGCAGCCGAAGGGATTGCTGCCATATACCAAGGCTGCGGGACAACCCGTGTGAGCAATGTTCAGAGTGCATCACAGGCATTAAACAAGTCATTTTCACAAAGGGGACTTTGGGGAGCCACTAACAGTACAGTGGTGGCATACTTTATAGCTTCCTTCCCTACCTCCTAAAACCCAAAACCAGCAGCAGCGGAATCACTTTTTGTCCCCATGTAAAATTCATAGCCTCATAGACACTAAGGTCAGAAGGAACCATCAGATCATCTAATCCAGAGGTGGGCAATAAGCAGCACTCAGGCCAGACATGGTTCACCAGGGTTAGCCCCTGGCAGATCTCCAAATGCTTTATTTAACTGCACATCCATAGGTACAGCTGCTCACAGCTCCCATTCCTCATGCACATTGCAGGCATCAGAACCTCAGCTACCCACTCCTGTAACAGACCCATAACTTCTGGCTAACTCAGACATTTTTCTCTTTTCTTTTAATTAGGTGCCATTATGGATGCTCCTTCATTACCAGAGTTTTCACAAAATCCTAAAAAGAGGCTCTCCGACAGCCCTCATGCTGCAATGAGGTCTGATCAGGGAAAATCTGTCCCTCTCAGACTAAATAAAGCTATGGGTGAGCTAAAACAAATCAGGAGAGCAAACTATCCTGAGAAATATATCTGAAGAAATAACAGAGATCCCCGCCTATTGCTACAATTGAGTTAATTTGCAAGGCTTGCCAACAAGACAAGGAGAATCAGAGAATAAAATCTCCCCACCAGAAGGCATAGTGAGTACCATGAATATAATCTCTGAGGAAAAGGAAAGGATTATTAAAGCATTATAGGAGAAGGTTAATGACCTCAAAGGAATATCAAGCAGGGACAATCTGAGAACTGTAGTCTCCCAGAAGAGCTGAAAAAAAGGTGAGGGCTGTGGAACTTTTATCCATCCCAGCACTTTTATTTCTCCCCTCAATTAGATACTGAAAGAGTCCACTGCTTTCTTGCATCAAAATCCCTTCCAAAAGCAAAATCCTGTGCCATAATTGTAAGATTTTAAAAATACAGCATTAAGCGACTCACTCTTTAAAAAAAAAACCCATGAACCTAAAAATCCAACATGCTAGGGACACAGACCAACGATTTTTCCAGATTACACTCAAGATGTTATAGAATATACAGGATTAAATTCAGTAGTTCATAGGGTCAGGTCAAGACCACCTTATTTCCTTCCATGCTAGGAGGGCAAGGTGTTCAGTTTTTAAAACAACAGAGGAAATTGAAAGGCATCAGCAATGGACTCTCTCAGTATCAAATTGAGGGGAGGAACAAACTTCTAATGTGCAGTGGGCAGCAGACCAAGTGGATCTACCTGTATGAAAAATAGGCATTTTTTACCCACATGCTATTTTGCTGTTGCTGTTCTAATGTTCCATGCTAGGAGGGCAAGGTGTTCAGTTTTTAAAACAACAGAGGAAATTGAAAGGCATCAGCAATGGACTCTCTCAGTATCAAATTGAGGGGAGGAACAAACTTCTAATGTGCAGTGGGCAGCAGACCAAGTGGATCTACCTGTATGAAAAATAGGCATTTTTTACCCACATGCTATTTTGCTGTTGCTGTTCTAATGGTGTAGCCCCGTGGTCCCCAACACGGTGCCCGCGGGCGCCATGGCGCCCGCGGGGGCATTTCAATGCGCCCACCAGGTGCTCGGGGCTGGCCTGGCCCCGGGCACATGGCGCACGGGCGCTTGCGGGGAGAGCGCGCTTGGCGGGGGGAGCGCGGCGC